AAACATCAATAACTTAATTAAAAAATTGTTATTGATTTGATGATTTCATGTATTTGCCCCCGCTTTAGCCATCCCCCATATCTGGTAGGGGAGGTAACTGATGAGAACAAAGTTATATTAAACATATCGATATGTGTAATACCTTACTTTTCTTAATTTGGATTGTTTTGATTTTCTGCTTTCTCGATTTAGAACATGAATCTTTATCAGGAAAGATGTAAATAGAAGCTAGTCCAAAAGAGCGATAAGTGTGTAACAGCAAAAAAACAATTTGTAATGTTATCGTTTACTGGCCAAAAGTGCAATAATGTCACCGAAAATATCACATGAGTGCAAAAAAGTACCGAGCTTCTTGGGGTAGTTGTGTCAGAGACACTAGCTCCGCTATAAGAAAAATGACAGAAGACTACACTTTGTGATGATATGTTTTCAAGTATGTGCTCGATAGTATGTTTTCATGATATGTACTTGGATGTAGTCTTTTGCGGAAATATATATAATAAATATGGCAGGAGACTATAGTAAAATACATATAAATTTGATAGTAGTTAGCAGGTGTAGTCTTCTGCGGAAATATATATAATAATTATGGCAGAAGATTATACCCGCCTTTTTATATATTTAGTCAAAATTTACTATTTTTTTACTATCCATTTCTATGGTATGTTTTCGGATATACTTCTGGTGTCAAAAATTCCGGCAAAATCGAAATCGGCATACTTTAATATAACGTACTTGATAGTATTTTTTGATAGCATAACCTGATAGCATATACCCGATAGCATTAATCAATAGCAATTACGTGACATAGGTTGCATACATATTCAGATAGCATATATGTAATATGCTCGATAGCATGTCCCGATTCTATGCGGTATATAAAATGACAACAATGCAAGATCACAAGAGTAAGCTAACTCAAGCTATTGATAAAATTATAACGCAAAAGATTGAGGAGGTAGACTGCAACATTAAGCCAGATCAAGCTATCAATAAACTCTTAATACAGGAGATTGGAAAGGGTTTCAAAGCTTATATAAAAAAGCTAAATGAAGAATACGATTCTGAGTCGGACTTCGATCTCAAAAATGAATTAAAAGATATATCTATTTGTAAACCATGCAATCAAGAATTACATCGGGCCCACAAATGACGACATATGATTGGATGCATCGTCAGATGTATATTTTTTTGCCCATGTGACCCAACGACGGAAATCGGCCATGATTACTAAATCAGCATACATTATGAATGACGACAAAAATTAGCCACAGTCGTCATTCGAGCGACGTGAAAAATAGAAATCGCACGTCAAGCCGACACATACCTTGATGGCTCTCGGATGACGATACAAATTGATATCGAACTTGACTTTTAAAGGGTATATGGTATGACTTGAGTTTTGCAATCTACACGTCACACCTAGGGATATATAATTGCTCAAGTGACTTATTTTGCGATCTACCCATCACTCGAATTACTTGAGTTTTATGAACCACCCCTCACTCGAATGACTTGAGTTTTGTGATATACCCATCACTCGAATGACTTGAATTTTGCGATCTACACGTCATAGTTGAGGGGGAATAACCTATACTAAGTGGAAATAACATAATTATGTTATTTCCACTAACAGGAACCTGAAAGAGAATTTCAAAGTTTGACGCAGTGTTTATAGTATGTTACACGTCGTCCGCAGTAGCAATTATGTCATCACAGCGTGATGATCACGTCTAAAAAAGAAATCTTGTTTAATAACCGAGACTATACGCAAATATTACAAGCTGATTCCACAAATTGTCACTATGTAATATTACGACAATTGTGTGCATTAGTATTAAATTATTTTATTCTAGAAAAATCCATAGTGTCCTGTCGATTAGCGTTAATTAAATTAAAAAAAAAACCAACATTTAACGCATATTTAAATTCTTCATTTATGATAACAAATTATCGGTTTACTATAATTGTTACAAACAAGTTAAAGAAACTTGATACTAATATTATCATAAAACGTCGAAATGTTGATTTATATGAATTGTATTCCTAAACTTTTGTTCTATATTACACAATAATATCGTAGGATTGATTAGTATTAGGGGGATTATTATATCGACAGTCAAACTCATTCTACATTGACTCATCCACAGAAGAAATACTGTAGTTAAGTAATTTATTTTTCAAAAATCTGCTCAAGCGCAAACTGCAGTTAATAGTCTGGGCTTGGAAAAATCAATATCAACGGAGCAATATATGTAAGCTAGAAATATAGTGACGAAGGAATGTTATCTCCAGTAAACGTTAGACCAAAATAAAACTGAAAATCGACCTATAAGCGTTAAGTCAGCCTCCAAGCTCGCTAAGTTTGCTCATGAGAGGGCATACTTCTTAAAAAATGCAATTTCTGGTTCGCTCTATTTCAGAATAAGCAAACGTCTATCAGTTTACATGGGTGGTAAATATTTGTTTGAAAATCCATTTAACGCAAACATTTCCGCTCATTGCAATTAACACAAGAGCAGTCTATCCAGATGAAACACGCATGTTGTCAATACAAAGATTGCGTTTTGAGTCACGGGACCGAACACGGTTTACATACCCGTGATAGATGTTACACAGGGAACACATATTAATGAAAAAAAAAAGTGATCAAAATCCAGAACAGCAAATAATGGCAACTCTATACAAACTTGCGAAGGGAGATTCAACTTCAAAAGAAGATGATGATGCAAAGAATGTGACAAAGTATAAACAGCGCGTATTGATTCTGGCTTCACGTGGAATTAATCACAGGTAACAAGAGGAAACCAATGAGACACAAATAGACAAAAGGACTAATAGAATCCATCACATTGATTTTCCAACAATATTTACCATATACCTTCAGACAGAGACATCTTTTGAATGATCTTGCGGTGCTCACTCCACATTTCAAAAAGGGTAAGCCGGATTATGTTCGAATACCTGAATTTTTGGTAACTTGGTGCTAACGTCTTCTTGTTTAGACTCTAAACTAGATACCAAATCAAACCTTGGAATATTAAATGAATTATGCGAACTCAATAATTGCAATAATTGTATATTCTTTGAGATACGAAGAAGATCCGATCTTTATATGTGGGCATCGAAAGCACCCAATGGACCAAGTGTCAAATTTCATGTACAAAATGGTAATTTACATGTCTAAGATAGCAAATCGTTAAGAGTCATTATTACTAGAACCCGTAAAATTAATGCATTTTTTCGTTTCTTTTCTCTTTCCGTAAGTACATACAATGGATGAATTGAAAATGACAGGTAATTGTTTAAAGGGGTCCAGACCGATATTATCCTTTGACAAAAGTTTTGATTCACAACCACACTGGCTAGTAATAAAAGAGCTATTTACTCATGTAAGTGTGTTGCTTAATAGAGCCATCATCGATTGCATTTGTCATCTAAAGCTCAAGACGCTATATGTTACTTCGTCTTAGATCTTTGGTGTTCCAAAGGGTGCTCGCCGATCAAAACCCTTTATTGATCATGTAATATCGTTTACAATAGCGGACGATAGAATATGGTTTAGGAACTATCAGGTATGTTGCATTATTTTTGATTAACGAGACCGACGCATTTTGCCTGTTTTGCCAACGACTGAATTTTCGTCGGATCGTTATCGCAACACAATGTCATGTCATGCATCATACAAAGTTTATTCTTGCACTTTAACAACCTTATTTCGTCCCAACATACTATCCTAGATAGTGGAGAAAAATCCAACAGATTCAAACCCTTTCAAGAAACTGGTGGTGGATAAAGACATGTCTCTCGTAGAAATAGGACCACGATTTGTATTAAACGTTATTCGTATATTCGAAGGAAGTTTCCGTGGGGCTACCGTGTATGCCAACCCCGAGTTTGTAAGTCCGACGTTGGTGAGTGTTTGGAATTATTAATCCAATGACAGAGATTTCGTCATTAAAAAACTGGAACCACGGTATCTTATAATTGACCACCAGAGCTACGTGATTGACCTGAAATTCTACCATATTCTAGGTCCGAAAAAATATGAGGATGCAAAAGAAACGAGCATCAAACAAATAGCCATGTAGATGGAAATGAAACTCTGATAGTTCAGTAGGGGATAAGCGATGCTACGATTTAATCTCAAAGATATTAATTGAGAAAAGGAAGAGGCTTATAAATGTAATTTATAACGTGAAAATGAACAATGACAGAATCTTTGGTTTCTGATGGTGCCACAGATGCTTAGTCTCTTTTTGAATGACGGATGCTTGGTCTCTTTTCTAATGATCACATAAAAATGTCTGTTTATTTACACATGTTGCGATGGAGGCTAAACCGTTGTTCAACTTTTTTTTGCATGCGTACTGCAGTATCATCAAGTTCATATTTCATGTTCGGGGGGGAAGGAGAGTCGAAAGGAACCGATCTTTCCGTTGAGAAATCCAATCTACTGGATCGTTTCAACATTACAACGAAACTGCAAATGTTAACGTGTGTTACGGATGTTTTTGATAAATCGTCTAAGCTGCAATGAGACTTAATAAGTATTTTCACAACCTTGTCATCATCACACCACTCCTAAATAATATGGTTAACGATTATTCTGTGAACGAATCTGTTGATCTAATTTGATTCTTGAATTGCTATAAATCATATAAAAAGAAGGCAAGACAATCAGTGAAGCCTTTTGTCTGCCGTGCGCTAATATAAAACAAAATCAAGTGAAGCGATCTCTATATATCGGGCATCACATGCAATGGCACAGTAAAAGTCTGGCGCAGTATATCACGCAGTTTTTACAATTCGATCCGGCGATAACGCGTAAAGAATACATACTGGTCTCGCGAAGCAGTGACGTCAGAAGACCGGGGATATTGTTAGCAATAACCCGTACATTTCTATTAAATTTTTAGCCAACTAAACCAGTATTTCTCCTGAAAAAATCTCCTACATTTGCATAGTGAGCTGAGCCTCCAGAATAAAGGGAAATACAACTGTTCCGACAATACTGCGCCACATAAAGCAACGATTATGACGAACGAATGAAACTTTCTCCCTACTTGCCATACAATCGAGACTGTATTCCTTGTGGTTTCTTATTCCCTCGAATAAAGAAACAACTGAAGGAAAAAAATTTTGATATAGTCGAAAATTTGGCAAAGGCTGTTCAGGCAGTTGCTGAAACCATCCCAAAAGCCGACTATGAGAAGTCTTTCCAGAGTTAGCAGAATCGTCTGCAATGTTGCATGGAGATTAATGGAGAGTATCTTGAGGGAATAAAATAGTCATGTCGATAATTATTATGAAATTTCTGGAAATAAAGATCTACGCGCAAAACTTTTCAGCCCCCCCCCCCCCCCCCCCACGTAATATGAAAATTTTAAAAATTTTTTGGGGGCAATTTTGTAGACTTTTTTTTTTTTTGAATTTGGGCTAGAATTTAGGGTATTGTTTGATAATAAAAGACTATATGTGGGTTTCTGAGCTTTAAGAGTGGACTCAAGAAGACATAATAATTGTTGTAATTATATCATAAATACCTTTATTCTGGATACGGGTACAGGTACATCGTATATTAATATAGAAAATAAAGAGACGCGCACATTAAAATAACTAAATTAGGTCACTTATAGTTTTAGATTCAGTCGCAAAAGCAGTTAAGACTAAATTAGCACATCCCCTGTCGGCAAACATGTCTACGTAAAAAATTCTCGCTCTCCCAAAATCTTAGACCCGACCGCAAAAGATAGTTCCCGTCAGGAGCAGATCAAAACGACGCGACGCGCCAAGATTTAATTTCGAACAAGTCCAGTCTAGAGGTGTCCTTAGTAATTAAGCTTCTTTCCTCTATTTTGGCCTCCCATTTTTAATCACATGCACATTCTTTAATTCACCATTTCCCAAACAGGATTTATAAAATCAAGAAACATTTCTCGACATTAATTCCTTTCTTTCTTTACCAAATCCCCCACATAAAACTTTTGTTCTCTCTGTTGATTGGATTGTGTTTCTCATTCATTTCACACACTGCTCATATCACAACCGTATCACTTTTAAGTGCTCCTTTTCCTGTTTTTCACAAGGGGATTCTCTTGCCCCTCTTTTATTCAATCTTTTCATACAACCCCTTTTCAACCTCATTTATGTCTGTTCCTACTCTTACTTTGTGAGCATATGCAGATGGCACCACAATTATTGGCCACTCCTCCAATGACCTTCTCCTTCTCCTCAACTCAGTTTTTCCTCTATAAAATCTGATACCAGGAGTTCTCCAAACACGACCTGGACCATTATTTTTAAATATTGTGAAACTGTTTTCATCACTCCATATTAATATGACAGATCGCCATTTTCGAACAGTCCAATCTCGCCTTTCAGCACACCATTTCAGGCGTTGTTCGCTTTGCTGATCATTTAGGAAAGATTTGCGAGCTGGTATACGAGAAAAAATCTGCATGTTGTGCAAATTTCTCGTAATAGTTTTTGTGGAAACTTCAATATTAGTTTTTTCAACAAAATTTTCAGCTAATTAATTATCTTTAACAATAGCCTTTAGAATTTTTTGACTTCTGTTAGTCAATAATTTTGGACGGCCAGATCGGGAACGAGTCGCGTCAACTCCGTTAAGGTACTTAGCAATAGTAATAGTACGAGTGACAGTTGTTCTATGAACTTTGAGCATTCTACTAATTTTTGGTGCTGATTGCTTTATTTTGTAAAGGCCAATAATTTTAACATCAATAGTGCTTGCGGATTTATTTATATATTCTGATGTGTCTTTACAAACAACACGAAAATTGTATACGCGTTTGTTCAAAACCAAAACAAAATTATATTGAAATTTGAGATGCAATTATTATGTGTAATTAAAAATTTTTGATGTGCAAGACTTTTGTCCAGGTACGTAACATGCCAACCAGGTGCGTTTTCAAAATTAGGCGAAAATGTGTCATTTTGGAATTAGAAAACACTGATATTATCTCTACATATGTAAAATTTCAACCAGGCATGTTTTCAAATTAGACAAAATGTTTCGTTTTCGAATTAAAAGCACAAATGTTATCTCTATATATTAAAAATTACAAAAAATTTTATTAAAATAAGCATTAATATCAATATCAATGTCAACCACAATTTACACCGTTTTAGACAGAATTATAAAAATTTGCCCTATCGTTATTTATAGTATTCATCTGTTATAAGAGTTCCGAGCATCCCATAACATAGTAAGCGGTTTAATTTAAAACTATTCGAGATAGGCCGGGGGGAGGGGGGGGGGGGGAAATTGTTATTTATGCACAATATTTTAGGGTGGATTAAACATTGAGAAAGTTTAAAAACTGATGCCACTTTTGGTGTGGATGCCGAACTAGCCAAGTTAGATGCCGCTGAAACTGGCAATCACGGTAAACCAGCTAAATATAATAATTGAGTTGGACGTGGTACTTCCTTTACTGAACGGTTAGAGCATTGATCAAATGATGATGGTAAATACTTTAATGATGAAGTTATTTAAAAGTATAAAAAGATGCCTTAGAATCGGTGGAACAAAATATCATTAGAAGATTTGTACTACAAACCAACGCTAATATTTTCTAATACTAACGACTCTTAAAGAAATATGCATATGCAGGGACTGGAATAAAAATGAAGCAAAGATTCCTCTCAACGAAAAGGATTATATCATTCTGGTCACCATGGACAAAGTCAAGAAATAAACTGCACAAACATTACTTCTGAACTCAGCTCCGGACAAAGTTTTTAGGATGATGATGTATTGGCTGTGAAAAACTCGAAAAAAGTTGTATGGTACTCTTAATATAATGCAAAAATCAACGAGTATTGTGAAAGACTACAGATGTTCTATAACGAACTTCTGAGGGAATGGAAAAGTTAATTTTCCGTCTTTGCGTCCGTCGATGTTCATGGATCAACGACACAAAAATAGAGTACAGTGCGAACAACATTTTAGGCATATAAGCAGCTCAATTTTCCGTCAGTATCCCTTTCCGATACCTTGTAGTTTTTTATACTCTGAAAGAGTGCGACAACTCATTCCCTCGACAATTATTCTCCCAACAATTTTCCGGAAAACAAAAAGCAAGAGCAGATAAGAAGTATTCTTCATCAGCCAAGATGCGCCCTGAACAAGTTTTGCGGGTGAAGATCTCGAGCATTACAGTTGAGAGAATATTATCGATCACAACGACAACTTCAATCGAGATGATTATGCCGGTGTAATTCGAAATAATTGTCGGGGAATAATTGTCGGGAAACGGCGTCTTAAAATTTCTCACATCTACAAAATAGGCATGTCGCACGACTTTCCGTTTCTGAATTTGATTAAAATATCCACTTTCGGCTTTGGCTTGGTTCCTAGAGCCAGAGTCTGAGAATGTCTTATAAAAATTTTGATCTCTTACGAAATTATCGGACAGTGATTTCTCAAACAGCCAAGGGAGAGAAAAGTCATAACGAATCCAGTGCATATTAAAGACATATATTTTCATTGAAAAGTTGGATGGGTCTCGGGTCACTGTCATCATTGTGACCGTGACACTAACTCATACCAATATTTTTACTGCAATTAGGAAGTGTTACTGCAGATAACCTTATCCAATCAACAGACGCCGTGTATAAACAAAAGTTTACAGAGAAACGCAGCTTTTTACTTCTATTCACCTCAACAACCACCTCTCAACAATGGCGGAAAGCACGGCTGATCATGAGGATGATTTTGGACCTAGTATGACCCCTGGCTACAAAATTGCCGAAAAGAAGTCTATTCAAGAGTATCAGAATCTAGACGCTAATGACGAGTCTCTGAACAGATGGAAGGCATCTCTCGGTCTGACCAGCAGTGTACCTGGTTAGCATACACACATACATATATTAATTGCGGTTCGTCGTCTGTCAAAGCAAATATTAACTGTTTCTGCCTTTTCTTGTTGGTCGTGTTTCAGGTCCGGCAGATGATCCACGTAGGGTATGCGTCGTGTTGCATTGCGTTCACGTTATTATTCTTGAGAGCTGCAATAATTATTTACTTATATTTTCGTGTGAGAAAAGGTCGTTATTCTTGAATTGGCTCTGGAAGTTGCGGGTAGACCGGATGTTGTCCTGGACTTGTCTGATGCGTGTACGTTTTGTTACAAATTTGTCTGCGTCCTTCTGGAGAATAATATGTCTCGCCTGACATCCTAACGCACGCATACTGTTTTAAATCTAGCAAAATTGGATGAAATAAAAAAGAAGCCCTTCGTAATTAAAGAAGGCGTCGAATATCGAATGAAAGTCAAGTTCAAGTAAGGAGGAATAAGGATTCTATCACCTGTTTGAGTAAAGGAGAGCAGAGCGATTCCTTATATTGTTTTATTTTTCTACAGGATCCAACATGAAGTGATCACCGGCCTTAAATACTTACAAGTCGTCAAGAGAAAAGGAATTCGAGGTAACGCGTTTATAATGGGCGTAGTAGCTTAACAATAGAGACGGTGCAAGATCACATACAGTTGATGGCCGTAATTAATTTACGTCATTGTCAGTGATAATGAGATGTTGAAAGTATATTTTAACACTTTACCTTCTGATCAGACAAAATGGAAGAAATGATTGGGAGTTATGGTCCGTCCGACCAACCTTACGAGAAAAAGGTGCGTTTTTAATATATCTTATTGAATTTCTCACGTTCCGGTTTCGTTGAACGGTACTAATTTGAGAAATAAACGCTTCATCTAGTTCCCTCTCGAAGAAGCACCTAGCGGAATTTTATTCCGTGGTCATTATCAAGCGAAGGTATGAAACGTTGGAAAAGTGATTTTCAAAGTTGAGTGTGCTAATATCATTTTTTGTACAGAGTAAATTCGTTGATGACGATGGAAAGGTTCACGTTCAGTGGAATTGGGTATGTAATTAGTAACAATGTCACGTTGATTGGTCTTTGGCATTCGTGCAACTCATTTCTGATTTGTTGCATTTATTTGTACTATACAGTCTTTCGACATTAAGAAAGACTGGAACTAATTAAAATATTTATCTAAAGTTTCGAGTCATGTTTAACTGTACATCCTTGAATTCAGACATTTAATAATATCGTGACACTATGTTGTAATCGCGTATCGTATGTCCCTTTGCTGCATTTCCCCCTTTTCTTTATTCTAATACAACAGTCGCGCCAAGTGCTTCCAGTGTCGATTTGATCTTTTCTGCTTCTTCTTTATTTGCGCTTTCTTTGATAACTTTTGGTGCACTTTCAACGAATTTCTTGGCCTGCGATAGATAAATTTAACTATAAATGACGATATATGCTCGTGTAACGTCACATGGAAATTACCTCTACTAAGTTCATTCCAGGCAATATGTTCTTCATCTCCCTGATTATTTTCGTCTTTGAAGCCGGATCAAATTTATCCAGCTTGACCTTGAATTCCGTCTTCTCGGGTGCCTTTTCCTCCTGCAATCAATGTCAAGGCGAAACCTTGAAACTTTCTGCAAAAGATATTCTAGTGACAATAGGCATTTATTGTAAATCACAAACCTCAGCAGCGGGAGCGGCTCCAGCGTCTGTCGGGGCAGCAGGGGCTACTGTGCTTGGTAAAGGCATTGCAACATCCTGTATGTTTAAACGAGTCTACAAGCAAAATGTTGGAGAATTTACGACTGAACTGAACTTGAGAAAATGCTAGGGAATAGCTTTTTGATGATTATATCATAACTTCATTTCTTTTAAACAAAGCGAATAATTGCTTACCTTTAGTAATTGAAGTAATTGTGAAACTTCCAATAGAGTGAGCGATGAGATATCATCTGCAATCTTGGATATCTTTGCATCTACAGTGTTACTTCCTCCTGGTGCAGGCAATTTAATCTTTGGTTCAACTGGAGCGCCACCGGCAGCTGCTTCCGTTGCATATGATGCTATAAATGTGTATCTGTGCCGAATCCGGCTTGTCATTGCAAAGCAAGGAAAGGCTTTGCTATTCACAAACAGGGAAATTGTCAGCATACTGCACGTACTAGGATCGAAAATGATACGAATAAGTTGCAGCAGAACTAATTACCGAGTTAGCCCCAGTCGATTTGCCCATAGGATGGCGGTTGACGGACGTAGATGTTTAATAGAGTATGACTATTGAACTGTTAGAGTAAGAGGCATGTCGTATATGTAAAAGATGATGATAGTATGAATACTTACCATGATCCACGGTTATTGTGCGCCACTAGGATACGCTTTTTACAACAAAAGTTTTTGTGTATTAACGTTTACCATATGTGGGCAGATCCAATAAAATTTATTCGAATCATGTGATATAAGTCAAAATTTACCATAACCCGCATTGAACAAAGTAAAGTCTGGGAGCTTTCAATAATTACGATTTTTATTGGCAAATACTTGGACAAACTCAAAAAATTGATTAATGATGAAAATGATGAATTTTAGCAAAAGTAATGTTGTCTGAGTAATATTTATTGCCGTCGAATGTAAGCTTGATTAAAAGTCATTGCAGAAGTTATAGTGGTTAAGGTAACTCTGATGTTTATGCTTATAAAATATCGATTGAAATAAGACCTGTGGTTATATATTACCCTCAGGAAAGAGTTTACTCTCCGTTAAAGGGGCACGAAGCAATGAATTACCTACGTGATAGGTTTCCGATTTTGTTTACAAATGTGTCGTTTGACATGTTGCTTAACACATCCTATGTTTCGATGTGTGACTTTTGACTAAACGATCGCTTCATTTGCTGCACAAATCAACTATCACGTGACATTATAAGCCATATCCCGGTTATTGTTATGTGCAACGCGTTCTATTTGAACATTCTCGTTAACGTTCTTGCCTCAAACAATGACTTCCGCTTACGGCGACACACATCGTCTTTTCTTGCAAGCCTCTATTGCAGAACGAATTTTTTCAGAGACCGCAGCTGAAGAAATGTACCGCAAGGCTTGTGAAGCGACTTCAGGTGTATATCCAGACATCACAAGTCGTTTTAATATTTAGTTGCCGATTACTACGTTCGCTTGATGATTGTTGATTCTAATGCCGTCTTTATTTTGTTTTCAGTGGAACACGATACCGAAGACTTTGACGATTTTATGGCGGCATTAAACGATAGGCTTCATCGAGTTGATATGGAATTTCGCAAGAGCCACGACGAGGAAAATGGAGACACGGTTTGGGCATTGGTTAGAAACTATGTCTTATGAGCCTCATGTATGCTATAGTTTTACATTACATAGTGCCAAATAAACTAACATAAGATTTTATAAAGGTAAACACCAACGGAGACGAGGTTGCAAAGTTAGCGACCGAGTATTCACCGAATGAAATCGCATTTTTCAAACGAATTGTAAGAGACATTATTTAATTTGGTTTTAAATAAGACGTTTTCCATCAAGCTCTTGCGAGTCTCAGCTTTCTGTCTCAGCTTGAACTGATAGTAACTGCAGATGCCGAAGCATTCTCAGTGTCCTCGATCTCTGCTCTGCGAGAAGGTCCGCTATTGAAACCACAAATTACAAAAACTGCAGCAGAAGAATTATTACAGAAATTTGTAGATGACAAGTGGCTTATAAGATCCTCGTGAGTTTCCGATAATAACATTGTGTTGATCGAATCCATTCTTTTACTGATTGACCTATCAGATCAGGTAGATATTCATTGAGTACGAGAGCTATACTAGAGTTACAGGGTTTGTTAAAGGAGGAGTTTGAGGATTATATATTAGAATGCACTTTATGTTATGAAATCGTTACTAAGGTAATTTTTACGTATTTTGTCTGTGAACCCTTTGTAGTGTCATATTATTGCTCATTCTACAACATTTTTAACAGGGTCAACGCTGCAAGACCGCAAACTGCAAGGCACGGTTTCATAACCATTGTGCAGAGGTATACTATAACAGATCAAATAATAACAAGGCTTGTCCCGTGTGCTCAACTGAATGGACGGGAAAGCATCTTATCGGTGAAAAAGCAAAGTGAAACTTTGGGTAGTGTCGGATTGCTTAATAATGTGATAGTTAAAGGAGTGACGGGTAAACAGGAATAATCATTAATAATAATAATAGCTCGATATAGATCTGTTTTCTTACAAATTAGCCAAATTTCAAGTGATTTGGTAACATACTCACGTGTTCCATGCTGTTACTGAATTAAGGGTATCAAGGGTTGGGTGAATGCGCATATTAATATTGCCTCGGTTAATGCATCTATAATATCAACGGGCAGCATTACTTTTTTGGAGAGTGTTAATGATTCAGGCTTGGTGTACTTGCTAATGGCGATGATGGTAGCTAACGCGTTGCCACTGACATAATTTTATTGAATGTAATATCAAATATCTTTGTACATATTATCAATTTGTTGTTAGAATTCTGACGGCTGAGAATATTGCAAATTTTTACAAATTACTGCATATAGAATAGCTGTGACGTTAAATACCCATTGTAGTGTGGGTCGCGAAACAAACTGCTTTTCAAGAATGTAGAATGTCATAGCAGTAATTTCTATTTGTCGATTTTCGGTCGTCTTGATTTTTGCAGCAAAGACTAGTAAACATTTCAGAATGCAATTTGCAAGTGCAGAAATTCAGCTATAAAATCATCTCAAAATTTAAGATTATTATAATACTAATTATAATACGGTTACAAGATCTATTACTGTCGGATAATGCAAAAAATATTAACCCTCAAAAAATTTGGGGGCCTAACTATTAAGAGCAAAAATAAACGCCGTGAATGTTTCTCTTGCCCAACTTGACTCTTCACAGAACTGACCACAATGATAGACCAAGACTCCAACGACATGGATATCGATGATTCGATGGAAAAACACCATTCACCTATGGTACTTGGCTCAGACGTCAGTTTGGACGACGACGATGCCGACGACCTTGACATGAAAAACATGGCTATCAAAGCGTGGCTGGTGAAGGTATGTGGAGTATTATTCTGGTGGATCGGTGTTTGAGGAAGCTTTACTAATAGAAACGTACGCTCTGAAAATAGCTACCGAAGTTTCTATTCGAAAAGTGGTGTGATATTGAGAGTGATGACATAGATCTGGGTACCGTACAGATCTCCAACGATGAGTAAGTGTTACTTGCTTGCCCCGGGTCGGTCTCGTGAGGTGTTTTGTTTCTTTCTTTGGCTAAGCAATTTACTTGTAATGTGTTTGACATATTTAGCCTGGGTCCTGGTGCTAATAATGTCTGTATCTTTACCCTGTTGCTATTGTTTTAATAACCGAGTGCTACTAACACACATTATGCGATTTAAAAGATAAAATTAATATTATCGAATATTGATGCACATGCTGAAATTCCAAAGGAATATGAGCTTCAAATAATAAATCAAGATGTAAAAGACATCTACACTTTCTATCAAAACAAAGAATCTGGAGGTATTTGCCAATTCCATGATCTTTTAATATTTGATGCTGTTGTTTGATAACAATTTGACCAAACGTTTTTATTTTATAGCTGTGTCTTTGGCGGCTACAGTGCACCATAACTGCCTCTCAAAACCCATACTAACCGGTGATTACAGTAGAAAATTACGGGAGCGCACTATGCAAGCTGGACAACCCAGACGAGCTATTAAGATGATGGATGAGAATGAGAATCGTGGCGCCTATGTTCCGCCTGGATCATCCGGCGCTGCGATTACCAAGTTTGGCAATCTAGTGGTATGTTTGTTGTATGCATTGGAGGGGAGGGTTGCGACGACTTTGCCATAATCACTCAAACACGGATGTTTACCTATATATTTGCAGCAAAAGAAACAAAAAGTTTCAATCGAGCAAAAGACAACCCGCATGCCAAAGAACGAACTTATTGATTTATTGTTCAGTGCGTTCGAGTTGTACGCATATTGGTCGCTAAAGGGGTTAAAAATTTACGTCAAACAACCGGAGGTAATATATGTTGTTCATATTGTCGTTATGTAATATGTATATATATATATACACAAATGTTTTTATATATGTCTGTCTGTGTGTACGTCTTGCGGAATCTTACTAATCTACTAAGCATATTGAAGTCTTATTTAAAAGAAGTTTTGAGCGAGATCGCCACTTTAGATAAAAAAGGACAGTACACCAATTGCTATCATTTGAAGTCCGAGTACAGTCGTCAGGCTGCAACCAATGAATCTATTGCCCCAGTTGGATTGGTATCAGGCAACTCGGGTTTGGATGATGACGACATTGTTCTTGAACATAACGACGATGATGACGAGATGATTGAAAATAACGACGATGATTGAATATATCAATGCGAGGCAGAAATTCTTGGCTGAGGGTTTAGATGACGCAGGTGTGTTGCGTAATAATAATACATTAGAGACATTTAAAGCCACCACAAACAGTAGAAGGGGATTTAGTGTGAATTAGTATTCTATAGGGCAAACAGAAATAAAATAGGAATAATATTAGATTTTTCAAGCACTTGCTTCTTAAATATTAAACTGTTTTTTTAAAACCGGTTTACGGTTTAGGCAACATTAGCTGACATTGTAAAATGACGAAATTATTCTTCCATGTTTTGAGTGATAAACTTGGTGAAATTATTTTTGCCTGTCCCCAATAAAGGTTAGACTTAGCCGAGGAAGAAGCCACCCGAGGTTCCTGTTTATTAAATTGGTCAATGGTTAGAGATTCTGACCCAATTAGGTCAGTTGTTTAAAATATTACATAAAGTAAAAAATCACTCTTAATAAATTACATTAATCGAAGAGCCATGTGTAACATGGAGCTTCCCTACTTTCATCGGGCGAGAAATTACCTTTGCTGATACATCACGTGTTAGAACGAGCAAAACCCACACCGAATATCCAGGCCCAACAATTTTTGTGCGATCGCATGTGCAATCCGTAAAGCACAAATAAATCATCATGTAGATACATAATAATTTAGGAACACAAAAGTGCGATTCAATGAAGTAGGAGGGATCCGAGCTTTCGAAGTTGGAACAAAGCCATTGCATATTTAATTGTTTGCTTAATCAAATCGGCGATCAAGGAATACTCCCTTTCACTAGATCGAGTCGCTTATTCTTACTTGTTATAGGAGGTGATAACTATAATGATAACCAGTTTGCCCTTGAACCTCAAATGGGTGGTAACCACTACACCCGTCCATCTTCCCAGAAAGAATCGTTCCAGTTTATTATGTGCGTTCTCGAGAAATTCCAATTACCGCGTTTCTATGATAATCGACGATCACAAGACTGTACATACAGTGGCCTGCCAAAATTTTACGACCACCTGCCGATCATCCAATTGCAATCTGCCACTTGTTCAATTTTCA